CGGCGCAGGGGGCCGGGGGACACAGAGAGCCCCTGCTGACCACCGCTTCTGCCGCCGTCTGTCAACCTGGTCTCTGCACCTCCCAGAAGAATTAGGGGAAATTTCTTTCCTTATGGCCACTGTCGTTACCTGCTCACCTCACCTAGGGCACCCCGGGTGGAGCCGGGTGGGGTGGAAGAGGAACGAGCAGGAAACTTATCAGTTACAATTTTACTACCTAGAGCGACACATGTTACCTGCCTAGAGCGACACATGTTACCTGCCTAGAGCGACACATGTTACCTGCCTAGAGCGACACCATGTTACCTGAAACTGCACATCTTTTACTGGGGGCCGGGCAGGAGGTGATGCAGCCTTGGGTTCCCCGAGTTCCTGCACACGTGGGCCACACGTGGGTCTCGTGGCCGTGGGCCCAGGCTGTGCCAGCCCCTGCAGGGCAGTGCCAGCTGTCTCGGACGCGGGTGCCCCCGTGACAGTGCTGTCACGACGCGGTCCGTGCGGCGATTGTCGACTACCCTGAACGGACACGTGGGCAGGAGCCGGGCTTCTTGGGAACGGCCAGCAGCAAACGAAAAGCCCCCAGCAGGGCCCGGCTGTGGACTGTCCTGACCGGGGGCTCCCCCCGTGTGGGGACCTGACCGGGGGCTCCCCCCGTGTGGGGACCTGACCGGGGGGCTCCCCCCGTGTGGGGGCCTTTCCGGGGGGCTCCCCCCGTGTGGGGGCCTTTCCGGGGGGCTCCCCCCGTGTGGGGGCCTGACCGGGGGGCTCCCCCCGTGTGGGGACCTGACTGCGCCCGGCCGCTGGGGACACTGCGCTCGCCTCCCCACCAGGGCCAGCCCATCGGTCACTCGGGAAGGAAGTCGGCTCACCTGGGAGGGGCCGGCCGCCCGTGGCTGGGGGCAGGCAGTGCGGCCGCCCCGCCTGGGCGCTGGCGTGGGGCTGGGCTTGCGCATGACAGACACGCCTCCCCCACACACTGGGGACCGGGCCGGGGTGAAGCTGCGTCCTCCTCTTGGTCAGCTTGGCTTGTTTTTCTTTTCAATGCACTCAAGAGCTGGGGTGAAACCAGACGGG